CGCGAGAACTGTGGGGGATCCCGAAACCGTGTGGTGACAGACTGCGCGGTGACCTCGGAACCCCGAGAGACCTCGCCGCACGGCCCGTCACCGCACGGCCCTGAGACCCCGGAGGCCCCCGTCGCCCGAGACATCCTCGGAGCGGGACTCCAGCCCCAAGACCGTGCGGCGACCCCGAATCCCCACCGACTCCTCACACGGTGTGGCCAACCGGACGGCGGATCTGGAGGCCTGTCGAGGCCGGCGGCGACCTCGCGCGGGGCGCGCGCGGGCCTCGCGCGGGCCACCCCGCGCCCGGAGGGCGGCCAGCGGGGGGGGGGGGGCGGGCTCGCAGCGGGCAGGAAGGGAGGATGCTCCGGGTGTCTTGATCAGCGCGGGGGGGGGCCCCCCGACGGGGGTCGACCTCGCCTCGTCGTCGCGCCGCGGCGGGGGTCGGGGCGCCTTCGGTGCGCGGTGGCTGCCCCCGCGACGGGGGTCGACGTGGGGCGGTCGGCGGGGGTGACTCCCCCCCCCGACGCTTGCGAAGAAGCTCGGAGTAGGGAGGGGAAGACATGCCGAGAGTTGGGCGGGGGGGAGGCGGAGGGGGGGGAAGGGTGGGGGAGGCGGAGGGGGAGGAAGAGGGCTGTTGTCTGAGTTCTCACTCGGGGGCGCGCCAGCACGGATTAGCGATCCATGGATTTGGGGCGCGGTCGCCAAGTCCATGGATCGCGGGAGGTGCCCTCCCCAAAACGCGGCCGGTGCCGCCTCGTTCGGCGGCGGACATCCGCGATTTCCCATGGAAACGGGACCCGTCGCTGATCCACGCCCCCTTGATCCAAGTTTGCGATCGCCTGACAGGTGGAGGAGGCGGAGGGGGAGGGAGGGGGTTGCTGTTTGAAGTCTCACGTCCAAAGAAGAAGGGTTGTTGCTCCCTCCTGTCCGGAGACCATTGCATCTCTTCAATCAAAGCGCCTCTCCAGGGGCTCGCACCCTGTTTTTTACCAAGGAAAATGAAGTATCACCAAGCTGTGCCCCTGCCCCTGGTTTACCGCAACAGCGGCTCCCGCCGGATACTTCCTCACAATCTATTCCCGAATCGTGCTCTCGCGCGGGGCTTCCTCACAGTCTATACAGGAATCGCGATCTCGCGTGGGACTTCCTCTCGTTGTATTCAAACGCCGCGCCCTCGACACTCAGGGATCACGCTCTCGCTGTGGATTTCTCCAAGATTCATTTGGGAATCGCACTATCGCTAAAGACTTCCTCGCAGTTCATGCAGGACACACACTTCAGCAACCCGCCTGCCCCTTGTCCATTCCTTCCAGCCGTCCTCGCTTCCCCTGCCTTAGGGGCTGCACGAAATAGACGTTGCAAGTAAGAAAAGTATACCCTAATGGGGGTACAATCGAAGACGAAGAGGGCGGGTATCGAGGGTTCGGGATGTACGTGTTGAATGCCACGCGAGCAGATAAGAGCGAACAGTCTCCAAATGAGTGTTGGTTTTGTTGTGGTTGTTGTTGTTGTGTTTGTGGCTATTGTTGTGGTTGTGGTTGTGATTAATGTTGCTGTTGTTGTTGTTGTTGTTGTTGTTGTTGTTGTTGTTGTTGTTGTTGTTGTTGTTGTTGTTCTCGTTGTTGGTCTCGTTATTGTTGTTGTTGTGGCTGTTGTTGCTGTTGTTGTAGTAGCTGGTGTTGGTGTTGTTACTGCCGCGGACGGGTCTGAAGCCATGCAGTCCATCATGTCAGCCGAAATCGTCGGCGCCCGATTCTAACTCGCCATCCTCGTCTGGCGAAGCTCGCTTCGTGGCCTCCCCCCGAGCCTTCACCCGGGGGAGGTCGGCCAATCTTGCCGGCCCTGGGCCGAGGGGCACTCATTCGAGAGCTGCTGCCGGGAACACCCGGAAACTACCTCACCAGCGGCCTACGCAGCCACGGGCGAGACTCCTTCGTCTGGCGCTGCCATGGCGATGTGTGCTGGCTTCCTCCCCCCCAAGTGTAAGGCATCTTCTCAACTGCACCGCCCCTGGTGGAGCTGCTCTGAACAAGGAGGGCGCTCCGCGATCGCTCCCCCTGCACAGAACGACAGACAAGCAAACACCACCCTGGCTTGAGCTCATCAGTGCTCCCCGCGGGAAAGGCCGTTCTTGGCCGTACAGTTCCTGGTCGTGCCGTTGCTCGCCGTGCAGCTCTTCACGCTGCGGCTCGCTGCAGGCAAGCCCTCCCTCTCCTTGCCGCCCCTGGAGGAGCGCTCCGACCTGTCGGACCTGCTCATTCCTGGCTTGGCTCCAGATCTCCAGATCTTTCCGACGGGTCTGTAGACTGGCTGCTGGAGGGCTGCGGCCACGACCGACCGCGCTGGACCACCTTTGTCAGCCGGCTGACCCGGCGCCGATGTCCCGCGGGCCGAGGGCAGGTATCTCCACTCCTTCCTCGTGGCGTGGCACCACGCGTCGAAGCAGCCTACGGCGCAACGGCAGACGCGCTTCTCTGCGCTGCCCTGCATGCCCTGCGCGATGGGCGCGTCGAAGATGAAATAGAACTTCGCCCGTTTGCGCGAGAAGATCGGGATCTCCTTGCAAGCCGTCCTGCTGGTGCCGATCAGTCTCTCCGCGATGGCGAGGGCCCAGTCGCGCTCATTGAACTTGTCAGACAGCATATTCAGACCTTGTATTACCAGCGCATCTACGTCCTTGATGTTGGGGAGCATCTCCAACGCCTGATGCTCTCGACAAGGGACCACCTGGCGCAGAACTCGTCCTGGAAGATGGGCCCGTCGCGCTTGCTGCAAGAGATCAGCCGGTACACCGCCTCCAGCACGTGCGTGTGCCTGAGCGCCGGGTCCTTCCCGACCGCGTTCGGCCACGTGTGGTGGATCAGCCCGTACAGCTCGCAGCTCACTCCTGGCACGCTGGCGGAACTCCACGTTCCACGTCCGTCTTCGCCCGCTCCCGCCGCGGGTCGAGGAGCGGCTCCGCGCAGACGAGGTCCGTGCCGCTGCCGGGGCTGGAGTGCCCCCGGCGGCGCGCGCTGCTGGCCCTGGCCTCCGCCCTGGCGCTGGTCTCGCTGGGCGTCTCGCTCGCCTGGGCGGCGTCGGTGGGCCGCGCGGCCAGACTCGCTGGCCCCGGCGGCCGACGAGCGAGTCTGGGCCATCGCCCCTGGCCCTGGGGCGTGCAGCCCAGGCGGTGGCAGCGGTGGGAGCCGCCAGCTGGAGCCAAAGAGACCACACGGGGGACTCGTCGTCCGGTAGGGGCCCGAAAGGCTCGCACGCAGAGAGAGGACTCCAGAGACCCCGCGGGATCCAGAAGCTTACCAGGACTGCCAAGGAAGGTAGAAAGTCGGTTCGCACGGGAGCCCGGCCACAACTCGTCTGGGGGCACCAGAGCCAAGGCATTGGCCCATCCGTCCTGAGGCGAGTTCGCAGCCAACTGGTTCGAGGCTTTGGGTACATTCCCGAGTACGGCTGCACAGCGGCTGGATGCGCCTCGTCTTCACGTGGCCAGCAGCAGGAGGATCCTGTTCATTACCTTCCTGTGCAAGTCGTTCGTTCATGGTTTGAGCTGGTCCATCCAGGGCCAGAGATTCGAGAAACAATTCGAAAGCGGTGGAACCCTACGGTAGCAAAGTGCAGGGGCAAGTCCCGCTGGAATAAAGATAAACTCCCTCCACTCCGCCCTGCATGGCCACCCTCCACGACCTCAAAATCAGAGTGAGGGCGCCGAACGGTCATTCACTGTCCCTAGGCGCGTGGCTGAAGTGAGGTTCTGCGGCGCGGATTATTGTGGTTATTTGTTGTTTGTTGTTGTTGTCGTTGTTGTTGTTGCTGCTGTTGTTGTTGTTGCTGCTGCTGCTGTTGTTGTTGTTGCTGTTGTTGTTGTTGTTGCTGTTGTTGTTGATGTTATTGTTGTTGATGATGTTGTCGTTGTTGTTGTTGTTGATGATGTTGTTGTTGGTGGTGGTCGTTGTTGTTGTTGTTGTTGTTGTTGGTATTGTTGTTGCTGTTGCTGTTGCTGTTGTTGTTGCTGTTGCTGTTGCTGTTGTTGTTGTTGTTGTTGTTGGTGTTGTTGCTGTTGTTGTTGTTGTTGTTGTTGTTGTTGTTGTTGTTGTTGTTGTTGTTGTTGTTGTTTTTGTTGTTATTGTTGTTGTTGTTGTTGTTGTTGTTGTTGTTGTTGTTGTTGTTTTGGTTGTTTGGTGTTTGTTGTCGCTGTCCCCCCCGCGACCCGGCCCGCGACCCACCCGCGATCCACCCGCGACCCGGCCCGCGACACACCCGCGACCCACCCGCGAGCCACTCCGCGACCCTCCGCGACCCGCCCGCGACCCGGCCCGCGACCGGCCCTCGACCCCCCCACGACCCACCCGCGACCCACCCGCGACCCGGCCCGCGACCCAACCGCGATCCACCCGCGACCTACCCGCGACCCACCCGCGACCCGCCCCGCGACCCACCCACATTGCTTTAACGAAACAATCGGCGCCTTCGGCGAGCTCGTTATCAAATTTGTAGATTTAAACGCTTGCGACAAGCTTTTTGGCAGCCTCGCAGACTGCCGACGTCCCCGCCGCCCCCTCACTCTTATCCGCAACTGCGGGGTGCTACGTACATCTGGTGGGGCCCCGGGTGTGGATCCGACCTGGGGATAGGCGGTGCAAGCTTCCACCTGGGGACCTTGCGGCCCAAGAAAATTTCCTGGACGATTTCGGCAACCATGCTTCCACAGTGTTTGGGGAAAGTGCCGTGTTTTCCCACCTGAACTCACGTCCACTGCTAGGTCGCCTCAGCAGTGGCCAGCCGCCCTGGCCACTCCTGCCGAGGCCCTCCTCCACCGCCCGCTCTCCGCGGTCGCCATCCGCCTCCTTCCCTCCCCCGTGCCGCCGGACCATGCATACGCCATGCCCCCGGGCTACTAGACCGCGCGTGCGGATTGCCTCTGCCGCGCTGCGGCGAAAAAAATTGTTCCACCTGGGAGGGGGAGCGGAGTACGGAATCGACACAACCCGCGGCCGCGGCGGTGGCCGCGGGCG